AAAAAAAAAATTAAATTTCATTTCTGAGTATTTTCCTATTCTCCTCTGGTGCTTATGTGTTCTTCAACTGAATTTAAGGTTCCTGTTCCATCTGTAGCTATTTTTCAGCCCTTCCAAGAGATCTTTCTCTACTCTGAAATGCCATGCTCAAGCTCAATACAGAGACAAAAACACACATCTGGTAGAGAGGCAAATACTAAAATTGCCTGACAACATTTAAAGACACCAAAAAAATCGAAGGAACACATTCAATATTGTTGTATCTGCAGCATCATCAAGAGCTACACTGAAGATCCTTAAAAAAAGGCTAATGAAAAGGCAATTCACAGCTTTCAAACTAAGATTTAGTAACATTGAGTCCTCAGCCAGGGATAAAGTGGGTCTTTGAGAAAACGGACCAAATTTAGCTTTTGTTAGAAAGAAAGAAAAATAAATAAACCCTACCACAACAACAAAAACAAAAGGAACAGTAAAAACGTAGAATTTTTATTGAATTAAAGGTGGAGGTTCATCAGAAAAATAAGTGTCTTTATATAGGATCCAGGGTAACCTGAGTTACTGGATTTCAAGGTATACTTACTGATTTATTCAAAATACTTACATTCTTCATCAACAGTCTCAGCTTCTCAATGTCTTTCATCTCTAAAAGTTCCTTCAAAGTCAAAGTTCGATCACCATCAGTCTCATAAACCACTGTCTCAAGAGTGATCAGATTGTCACAAAGCACCTGCAGACCAGGAATGCTCCTCTCCATGCCAAGACGAACTAGGGACAGAGCACAGTCAACCTAAAAATAATTAAAGAAACACTAAAAACACTGCTGTACAAATGTTTGCCAAATACCAACTTCAATCTGTGTCCTGTCTGTGCATCTTTTTTATTCCCCTGTTGCTTACTATCAAGTTCCTAGAAATTTTCCTGGACTGTATTGATAAATCCATTGCCCTTCTCAGCCTTATGAAGAGCACATAAAATGCTTAATCTTAGGGGATGATATAATTATATGTTCTTAACCAAGTTGCATTGTATAGACACACGTATAGATAACATTAGTCCTTCTGGAGATGACACACAGCTCATCTCAGTATATGGAATATGAAGGATTGCTTTAAACTAAGCCAATTAGGTAAATGACATGCAATATGACTTTTCTAGCTGACTGTGATTTAATAATTTTATTAGCTGCATATTCTGTCACAAAAACCAATGACAGTCCCTAGTGACTGCAACTACCTTTATATGAAAGATTCTGTTTTGATTTCAAAGAACACAATACTGGCTGTAAATATTCAGCAAGGCAGACATAAGTCTTGAAGAGCAGAATGCAACTTAATTTATATGTTATGTAATTTAACTCATCCTTGGAAGCTGCTTTTATTCCTGTAACTACCGATTGGTTGTTAAGATCACAAGCAAGTATGATTAAAAAGACCCCTGGAGGAGTGCAAGCTCGTAGAATAGAAGAAGTCACTCATCAGAACTAATCTATAGTGATACTTCCAGTCACCCTCCTTTTCATGCAGCTAAATTGGCTTGAGAAGCAATAAAATACCAGAGCACACGAGTGATGAGCTCTCTTCTTATGTGCAGTGCTTATCTTTGACTCATAGAGTTTCAAACACTTCTAACATATAAAGAAAATCAAGCAGAAATAAGCTGCATGGTAGTCCAACAGACACACAATAGAACTGCCAGGAAGAAATCATGACAGTACCATTCCTTGGCATGACAGTGATACGTGTGACTGGCACATATCAATACACATAATACAGTAGCCTGTGACATTCCTAACATGCTGTGCACAACTTTCCCTCCCTTAGTTACAAACATAAAATGCAATGGTAAACACTTTTCATGGATTACAAAAGAGCTACTGTCTGCTATAGTAAACCAAATGAAACAGAATCTACTGGCTTCCTTATTCATTTCTATGGATTAATTATATGGCTGAGTAAACTTTAGAGCAAGCCTAAGTACACTGCGAAAGAAAAAACAAGTACTTCCAAAGCCATAATGAAGTTGAGACAGAGTGTACATTACTGAGGGGAAAGTGTCCTATTAATATGCATTAAGACTGTTAAGGATTCTGTTGAAGAAGGCTGCTCAGCCATCATAATTTCATCACTGCTATTCTCACCTGCATTGCATATTCTTCAATTTCCTTTGCTCTGCTCAAATACCAGTCAGTGGCAAGATCTACAGAAAGGTCAGTAGTCCTGTACTTCAGTAACTCAGGTTGTATTTCATACAGAAACTGGCCTTCATCTTGCAAAGTTGGTTCAATAACCATCCTTCAGAAAAAGATAAGTGTATGTTTAAGTATATATTTGTTTACTCATTTTTTTTAACATCAGTCTTTTTCTAAAACTTCAGAAAGAAAATTATACAATCAACCTACCACAGTCAGTGTTAGATTTGATCAGCAAAGGAACTACTAAGAGATTTTGAACAGGAGATAGATCATGAAAGAAAGAATCCTCTCTACTGAACTAGTAAGAGATTTCAAACATTTGACAGATCATGAAAGAAAGAACGCTCTCTACTGAAGATCCAGGTTTGCACAATTTCTGCTTTCCATTTGCTCAGTCTCCCCAAGAAAGCTGAAAACACAAGTTAGTGTGTACAAAAATAATAAGTGAATCTTACTGAGCCTATTACCACATTTTAAGAATTAGGAAATAAATTCTTTATATTTTTGCTTTTATATATACTTACCTGCATTCCGGTTTTTCACACCAATCTTCTTCACGATGTTTCTGCTCATTCCAAGGAAGAATTTTCAATGTCCCTTTCTTGTAGCTAATATGACAAAAAAAGAGAAGCTTTATGTAACTTGATGTCTTTTTAATTTGTTATGGTACTCAATTAACGGAATACAAAGCATACAAAATATTTCAGTGAACTCACAATAAGCATGTCAGTCAATTATAGTATCAATTATTTCAGATTCATTACTTCTTAGTGCAGCTTTACAAGTTTGCCTGTATGTTATCCATACAAATATATTTTCTACCTATACCATTAAAGGGTAAATAAAAAAGATGAATAGATTTTTCTTACCAACCATGCTTTAAACAAAGGAAAAAACTCATTATATGCTTTCAGAGTTGTTACCATTTCACACTAAGTATTCTGACTTCATATGCCGTCACAAAAGACTGAAATAAGTAAAAACCTATGATATTCACAACTTGAAAAAAAATACAATTGTTCAAATTTTAGCACAAATCCTCATACTGAAACTACATATGCCCTACTGTGCTGATTTTCTCAATTTTAATATGAATCTCTGACTACAAACTTCTACAATGAAACATCCTATAAATACTGGGGCTGAACAAAGAAAAGCCTGTTTAAGTTGCAGGTTAAGAACATCATGGATTATTACTAGAATGATTAGTTACGGCTTGGTGTAGAAGGCTAGCTGTGTATGCAGCATATAACACTAGAAAACCATGTGAAGCTATGCAGAACATAAACTAGTGAGGAAAAGAACTTTATAGGTTCTGGCACTGGTAGAAATAAGAAACAAACCACGTACAAAGTAGAGACATTAGAGTTGCAGCATACCGGAAAAATAAGCTGGTTTAAATTTAATTCATTTTCTCCTGACCCTGAAAATAAACAGAAACAGCAATACCACAGACAATCCCTATTTATAAACTAACAACTGACACAATCTTGTCATCCCTTGAAAAGCAGCACTGTAACTCAGTTGCTTAAAAATAAACACAGCCAACAAATCAATTTCACAATATAGTAAGAGTTGAAACAATAAACTAAAAATCAGTAACTCCATCACAATTAGCAACAGCCATTAAACTCACTGAACAAAGCAAGTCATGTTCATAAACTGCCCTGTCCCATACACACCTCACCCAGAAGGCTGGTCAGTCTTTTCTTTCCCTCCTCTGTGCATTAGCAAACAATACCTTGTGTTTTAACATAGTCATTCCAACCCTCCATATTATACATGCTGTAGTAATCCAGCCAGAAAATGGCAGAGATAGGTTTGCAGATTATAAAAGTCAAGCAAATGAAGGGGTAAGGATTGGAAAACTGCTAATTCCTGTATCGGATCTACAGCAACATCTGCTTTCAATTCTAGCTCACCTGAACAACATACTCTATGGCCGTCTTTATTATTTATGTATTATCTTATCATTATAAAATAATATATAAATAATTATATATTATTATATTATATATAATTATAATTATGTAGTAATATCATTAAAGAGAAATTCATAAAGAAAACTCCAAACTAACATTTGTGGTGTAAACAGGAATAAAGCCACTTTTTTTATTTTTGAAAGATTCATCTTCAGCCCATATCATACATTTTGGGGATAAGGGGTTTTGTAGTTCTTTGAATCTTAAATAACATTATTTATCAATAATTTAATGTTTTAAAGTGACTTCACAAACTAAATTAATATAGTAGTATTTCAAATACCATACATGAGAATTTTACTATGGAAGGCCCACTTTGTAGCGAAAAAATTTTCTTTTTCAGCTGAAATGTCATATACCAGAAAAGCCAAAGTGTGATTAATACTTTCTTCCAAAATATAAAATCAAAATAGTACAAGCAGGACTTGATATTTCAATTGATAATGCTCTCCTTTTCTGCATTCAACAGAAAAGAAAGCAGAACAAAAATTGTCTAAGACAATTTAATCTCTTAGCAAATTTTTCCCATTCATTTCTCAGTAGGCTTCAGAAGACATTTCAAGGGGACACTGGTTACTTGGTTATTTTGTTTGGGGAAGCAGTGGGGTGTGAAGGCAGGGAAAAGACAGGGGGGAAAATTAAAGTGGAAAGTTATGGACACAGCTGTAACAGCATGGAAATTATAGAGGAAAATTGCAGTTGCTCCTCCCTGCATGGAATGAGGTCAGTGTGCCTGCCTTCCTCCACACAATACGTCCCAAGGGGGACTAAATGAAGGGTGGAGAAGAGCTGAGACACCATGGCCAGGAGGTGCTGAAATCCTTGCAGAGGAGGGAATTCAGCAGTACTTTTTAGCTGGTAAATCACAGAGCAGTTAAAAGCCAAAGGAGATAAAGGAAGATGTCTTCCTGTTGAATTATCAACCATGGCAAAACACTAGGACTGGTGCATATTCCCATCCCAATGTTGTATCAGATACTATACCAATGTTCCCTGCCTCCACAGTACCTCCAAACCCTCAGTGAATTAGGTTTAAAAGTACATACTTGTATATTAATGTCTTCACTTAAATGTAAAGAAATAGTATAAAAGGTAAGAATGGGGAGAAGTCAGGAAAGACTCCATCGTAACTTCTGGGATCAGCTGATGGGCTGAACCTATCTTCTCCCCCACAGGGATGTCCATTGGGTAAAGAATCATGCTCCACACACACTGAATGAGTATCTGCAGCTAACTTTTGTGAGGGAGTAGAGCTTGTTATATTACGTAAGTAAAGTATTGCTTTGAATACATTTTTGCAATCAGATACTATTACCAGCAATCCTTGAACCTTAACCTATCGCAATTTTATTAATCAAGAGTGTTATTCCAGAAACTGTAAGCCTGAGTCCTTCCAAGGGGCTAGCAGCCACTGACAGTGGGAGGAACAAACTTGAATAAAGATGTGGAGACCCAGGAGGGGTCTCTGTTTGCCACAGAACTGCACTCCAAACTAGAAATGCTGACTGAAGAGTCCTCATAATGGTACACTGACAGAGTGGTCTGGCACAAGGGTCTCAGACTAATCAAACATGAAGGGTTTGAGGAGACTCCTGTTTTCATTTGACAGAAGGCTTGTTTGGTTTTTCGGCTGGCTGACTGGGTTTGGGGTTTTTTTGTCAATGTTGTTCTTTTGGGAGGAATTAGGTGGTATTTTTTAATATTAACATACCTTCTTAATGGAAAAAAAAAGGAGCTTTTATACAGCAAAGGATAGACAAGGGTTTCATTTCAGAAGCTGTTTCAAATGTCTGAAAAACTGCAGCAGAACTACTATGACAGAATAATATTAAGATTTTGGTAAGTCCAATTTCATGTTACGGATAGCTTTTTCCTCCAACATCAGGTCACATACTAATGTCTTAACTATTATTCTGTCTCCAAAATTTGTAATGCACTTTGTTAAAATTATTTGACGTTGTCAAGTCCTACAGGTCCTTTTGAGATTATTTCCTTATTAGTAAAACAATAAAATAATAATTGCTTTTTTATAAATTACCAGGCTAAGAAGATATTCAGTTGTTGGCAAGGACCAGCTGGCAACAGAAGGTGTAAAAGCAGCCTGAGGGCCTGTGCAGTTTCAGAGGCTGAAGAATTAGAATGCAAAGAACATGCACTAGAAGCTGCCCTTCCCTCAGTCTCATTCCTTCCCACAGCTCCACTAAAAACAGCCCAAAGAGTACCAAGGAACCTGTTAAAGAAGGTCTGACCCTCTCTATCAATTTCTCTCACTTATCTCTTGGCTGAGTCTCCATCCCTAGAAGGTATTTAAAAGACGTGGAGGTGTGGCACTGAAGGGCATGGTTCAGAGGTCAACTTGGCAGGGTTAGATTTGAAGGTGGACTCAAACTTAGGGGTCTTTTCCAACATAAACTATTCCATTATTCTACTAAAGAGAACACAAACTCTGCCCCTACCCCTCTCTTTTACAATCTGGCTTTTGCAAGAGTCTCTGATGCATTTACCTGACAATGGAGCAATAGGGGAGACATAGAGTAAGTAAATAATTACAGCAAGACCTCTTAGGAAAACTGCAGCACATGTCACTTACTGTATTTACCCTGAAAGCTGTCTTGCTCCCAGTAGTTACCTGCTCTTTCATGACTCTCTTAAGAGCTTCCCACCTGAATAAATCTTCCTATCTCAGAAGCCCAAAAGAAACCTTATGGAAATTTTCTTTGGTTTGGCTGCCCCTGCAGTGGTTGCTTTGGTTGTTATTGAGAGAAAGAAGTCTTGCAAAATAGTAAGGAAAGAGGTGCGCATATTTAATGGAAATTTAAACTTCAACGTTCTCCGCTTTGGACTAACAAATCATTAAAAGAGAAAATTACTACAAATAAACAACTACAGATGTTTAGAATGCAAATTTAAAACCACCCCTGCATGAATGAGATCTGAATGACAAGGAACCAAGACATCTCAAAATGCACACACACAACCCTAATGCTATGATCCCTCCATATGAGATTGGAAGGGGGGAAAAAAAGTAATGAAAAGAAAAAAGTTACTCAAGCCTGTACTGCCAAATACCACACTGAACACATTCTTCATAGTTTTGCCGTCATATCCAGCATACTTGCTATAGATGTGATGAAGTTACATCCAGGACATATAGTTACAATTAAGAAGTCATTTCTTTACAGATTCAGCAGCACTAAAGATTTACAATTCAAGTTAGAAAAAATTGCCTATTTTTAACTGACTTATGCATCAATACAAATTACATATTTCTAGCCTCCAATTATTCTTAACATAGCTGAGTTACTGACTCTGATAAACAATTATTAGAGACTAAAAAGCTTAATTTTTATGCAAGCGTTACTTAGTCCGGCCTAAAGTCAACAGTTCCTAGCAAATGCTTCTTTTTGCAGACATGAACTCACCCGATATACCTAACTACTTTCAGAAAATAATTTACATTTCCCTCTTCCCATCTAAAAATTTATACTTTCTTCCCTATCCCTATAACACAAAAGCCACTTGGGTTTGCCCTTAAATCCCAACTGCTTCAAATTTTTTTTTTTTTTAAATAGACTTTAAAATAGAATCCTTTCCAAACAGCAGAAGTCATGAATTACATGCAGACT